CCGGGCTGGATTCGAACCCACCAGCTCAGGTATATGTGGCTGGTGCCTTAGCCACTTGAGCCACAGCCGCTGAGCCCAGCATTAGCATTTTTAAGGCATTGTAACTATAAGGGAGAGTGGGGCAGCAAGTAAAGAGTATGTAAGGAAGTGATTGTAATAATGGGCTGTGGAGCCTACACTAGGTGAGAAGGAAATTAAGAAACCCTAGAACAGTGGTTCTCAACCTTCCTAATGCTGCAATGTATTTTCATTGTCACAATGAAAATGTCACGACCCACAGGTTGAGAACCGTTGCCCTAGAACAAGGTAGAAGAGGTTGTCGTGCTTTTTACAAAATAGCATGAATGAGATTTGAGGAGCCCATAACAACCCTCTGGGGCCTTATTAGACCCAGGAATTTTGGCTGTTATATTGCTGTATCAACTTTGAGCCATACACTCCACAAGTGGCTTTTGAGCTTTTATTTTATTTTAAAGTCAGTCTCTACAGGTATGGGACATTGGTTAAGAAGTTATGTTGTCAAGAAGCAGATATTAGGGCAGTGCCTGTGGCTCAAAAGGGTGAGGCCTCCTGCCTCCTGGCCCCATGTGCCAGAGGTGGCGGGTTCAAACCCAGCCCTGCCCCTCCCCCCAAAAGAAGCAGATATTAAAAACCCAATGAGTCTTTGCCACTGCTTCGTTAAGTACATACAGATTTGTGGTCTAGAGCTGGCAGTCTAACATAGGGCAGTCAAGCAGTAGCCTGGTACGTTCCTAACCCCGTCTCCCTGGCTTTAGGCATAAGGAGTTAGCTAAGATAGCCCTTGATGCTATGAAGTTCACTATTTTTTTTTCTTTTTTTTGGAGACAGAGCCTCAAGCTGTTGCCCTGGGTAGAGTGCTGTGGCATCACAGTTCACAGCAACCCCCAAGTCCTGGGCTCAAGTGATTCTCTTTCCTCTACCTCCCAAGTAGCTGGGACTACAGGTGCTCGCCACAACGCCCAGCTATTTTTTGGTTGCAGCTGTCGTTGTTTGGCAGGCCCGGGCTGGATTTGAATCCGCCAGCTCAGTTGCATGTGGCTGGTGCCTTAGCCGCTTGAGCCATAAGCACCAAGCCAATAAAGTTCATTTTTATTTTATCTTATTTATTTTTGAGACAGAGTCTCAAGCTGTTTCCCTTGGTAGAGTGCCATGGTGTCATAACTAACAGTTACCTCCAACTCTTGGGCTCAAACAATCCTCTTGCCTCAGTTTTTTTCTATTTTTAGTAGAGATGGGGTCTCGCTTTTGCTCAGGCTATTCACCTGTCTTTGCCTCCCAGAGTGCTAGGATTACAGGCGTGAGCTACCACCTACCGGCCTAATGTTCAAGTTTAAAAAAAATTTTTTTAACTCTTTATTTGAGCAAAGCTCCAACTTTCTAACTCCATCCAGAAATAGAAGCTGAGAACAATAAAATTTCTGAGGGTTGCTCTGAGTAGTTTTAAATGTCTGCAGACTTCTTACTTCCTACTTCTTAGTTCTTTGTGGTTTCTTTAGAAAATTTTGAAGTTGTAAGCCTTCTTCTGTCCATTAGTCATCACCAACTTTGAGACCTGGCAGAGGCCTTAGCTTGGTTTCCTTATCAGTAACCACAGCAGCAGTTCTTTTTTTTTTTT